TTTTTAGATTTCAAACAACTATTACCCAAGAGTTTCCATAAGACCAACAGTCGAAACTGAGCTTTGACGGTACAAAGAAAGTCTCCCAACATAATAATTCGGAAAGCTGTGCATTCAACTACGCTGTCCAAGTTGATACACTGTCATTAAATTTAATATCAAAAGACGTCCTCCTGTCCATTTATAAAACTATTAGTGAGAATCACGTCTGTCACACAGCGGCTTATCGTCCGTTTTTTAAGGTCTCCTCGACAATATGAAAGCTGAAGGGGTGCATAAAATAACCGATTTCAACACAGCCTGAATTACTTAACTTATTGCGCACTTTACTTTGAAACATATTTCAGAGGGTATGACAGGAAGTGGATTAGAAAATTTTGACCCTATGATGGCCCCCCTTATATTGAAACCACGATGTGCGGTTACTGAATCGAGTTTTTGGGGTGGAGAGTAAAAATACAGAGACGTAGACACAAACGAAAAAAAAAAACTGCCCTATTTCGTTTACGTAGAACAATGCCTTTTGTTGCCTTTTCACACTGAAATCGATGGCATTAAGTCATTAAATGTAAAATGCATTTCCTGTAACACAATTGTCAATTTTCAGTGGTAAAAGCCTGAAAAACAAAGCGATGCCTCTATTCTTTCAGATGCATATATACGTTGTGGGCCTATTTTGCACCCCTTTAAAGTTTGTAATCATTACTTACGCCGAATTTGGCTGCGGTTTAAACCTTTGTGAACGCCAACCCTTTTATGTGTGACAGAAATGCGATATGCTTCCCGCAGCAGCGTAGATGGAATAATTGATTTCGGAGATTTATTTATAGGTGTAGTAAAGAAGGAACGTAAATTCCATGTAGTTATTGAGAGATTTATATAGACAGAGTCCCAAATTTTACTCAAGATAGTTTTTAAGTGGAAGTTTCTAATTCAAAGCCTGAAATGTTTAAAGTAATTGCATTTAAACAGCAGCTTCAGACACCCGCTCAAGTTTTGCCTTTGTCAATGAATCTCTTATTGTGTATATTTATTTTCGCTTTAATTAATTAGTTGCTTAACTTTTCTCATTTTCACGGCAGCCCATTGTATCATTTTCAATGTAATGATTTTTGCTTTTACTTTATACAAAAGGTCATATGACTTAATTATTATCTCCTTTAAATAATCTGAAAATAGACTAGTTTTGTTCGTTGTGACGTCCTGAAGGAATAAATAATCTACATGGCCATAACGTTATCCCTATAGCCTGAATAGCTGATTGACAGGTTTGTTTTTGATGGTCCGCTCTCTATGTACATACATCCTAGAGCTTCAGGACAATCCAGTACAAGTTTCCTTAGTGTCCATCCGCAAAAAATGTGAATGTCAAGGCTATCCAGGTAAATCATTTGAAATACCATTATTAGAGCCTTCGCTTTAAAGAAAACTTTTCAGTGTATCCATTTCGTGAAAGTTGCACGTAAATAATTGCCAGGGAGCACAATTACAACTGCTCAGGACATATTTTATGGTTCATTCAATTGTCCCAAGGAAAACTCAAAAACAGTTCAGCCAGTTCCTACCTGTTTTCGCGCTAAATATGTTTCGCCAGATATTATACGACCCTAACTATAATAGCTTCAGAAACTAGTTAGCCAAACAAATGATTACATGTTGACCTTGTTTCAAGGGGCAGCAAATTTTCCTAATGTACACGCAGAAATGGGGGTAAGATTCTACCTCTTGTGTATTGTATAAATTTGTAATGTGTCGCTCAACTTAAACTGATATAACATATATTTACCAGTCTACTATACTAACTGTGGTAGGTAAGGATATTATGCCTTGATAATGGGCAACCAAGCAGTAATTCTTCCATGCAAACTGTTGGATTTTTGTTAGCAAATTCAAACGTCATTACTTGATCAATCTCGATGCAGGAAGCTTTCTACCAAATGCCATCTAGACGAACAACTAGAAATGGAATGCAGGATGGTGCTGAGAAGTTCAAAGTTGTACAACATAAAGCCGAATGAAAGAGGATTTTGTACATAAGAAAATTACTATAAAAGAAAAAGATAAGCTAATGAAAAAAGTAAAAATGAATTAAATAGAGCCAAGTATGGTTGCTCATGAAAACTGAGGAGCTACACCATCTAGAATTTTTTTTTATGTCGAGCTGCACCTCAATATACTTAAGCTAAACTATTAGAGTAACTCGACCTTCTTTTAATTGCTTTATGAACAATTTTCCCTCGTAAATCCTAAAATACCTACACAAACCCATATATTTTTTTCCTCAGCTTTAAAGCGAAAACTCCCGAAACATTTTAGTAAACTGCTCGTTTACGACACTTGCTTACTTTGTTAATTGTTTTACGGCTTCTAAGCTGCCAGGATATCGGTTTACACCCTTCACACGTAGGTATCACCTATTTATAGGTATAAAAGGAATTGCACCAGATATTTTTAGAAAAATAAAAACTTCATTAGCAAGACAATGCAAAGCACTCGAAGTTTAATTCCCCAAGGTCACACTGCAACTCAAATGTAATTCCATTCTTCTCTCCTCGTCAGGCTAATCTGCTTGACGTTCAATCACTTTAAAACATCGGGGATATTCAGGAGAGGCTGAAAGTTGGTTAAAGTTATCGACCGTTGATGAGAGCCCAGGGACCCGGGGACGTATTCCATAAATGATTATCCCCTTTGGGACGCATGCATAGCGCTGTGCCTAGTAACACCTATTCTCTGAGTGCCTCGTTCTTTCTCTGCTGGAATAGAAGTTATTTGTTTTTGTCACGAGATCTCTGGAGAATGGAGTTTGATCATTTGGAAATTTGCAACATTCATTGTATTTTGATTGACCATTTTTACTCGTCATTCAATACAGAAAGTATTAGAAAGAATAGGTATTTGAATCACAACTCAGTGTCTTATTATCGAATAATTATTCGATAACTAATACTGGCATACAACTTATTCTCGACATACTTGACGACCGACTTCGTTTTATAGCGCGTCGTTGCTTCTAGAATTGTCTAGATAATTCGCTTCCGTTCGTCTCGCAGTCGCCAGACTATTACGCGGTAAAAGTCTATTCGCGAATTTTCTAGCAGTTCAGACAGTGTCGCAAGATGTCCCTAACTTGAGAGATCTATAACACTAACTCTTAATTATTGATCTTTTGATAAACTTGCTGTTTACTCTCTACAAGACCAATTTATGGATTGCGTTTTTATCTGTCAGATTGCATGACCTGATAGTTTATCGAAAGGTGAATAAACCCGGCATAGGAATAACAGAATAAAATAATTCAAATTTGTATTCAATAATTGGTTTCTCATATTCACTACATTTTTGATGGGTCCAGAAGTAGTATTTTCCCCATTTATCTTTACAGAAAAAATTTACCTATGTGTGTGTTGGAGGTGTCAGTTGTACCGCGACCAAGGTTGATCTATTGTACCCCTCCTTCGCTGCTTACTTCGGGTTTCCTGCTCAAAGTTCCAGTCCTAGGTCCTTTAGGAATTTTAGGATGTCTTGCGGTTCCAGGGCTGGAATATCTTCCAACTGTATTAGGGCACTTCATCCTTGAGAGACTAACGGCATCGCAGTTCAGTAGAAGATGGTGAGGTGTCTCTTCTCCGTGAACCGTACTCTATATTGTTCTAGTCATTGTTTATTCCTTAGCCGATTATCTTCTTTCTTGAGGATTTCTTTGAGGTGCGCATTTCCGACGTCGCAAAATGGTTCTCGTCCAGTGAAGGGAGAAGACGTTCTCGTTCTTGCGAGTCTGTCTGCGCATTCGTTGCTCTCGACACCTATGTGTCCGGGCACCTAGAGGCGGGTTACTTTATTTTGTTTTCCCAGTTCATTGAGTTTCTGTAGACATTCCCATACTGTCTTAGAATTGACGACTGGTGATCACGATGCTTTGATAGCTGCTTGGCTGTCAGACATTATTATAATCTCTCGTTTCCGATAACTTCTGTTCAGGTTGAACTGCACGCATCTTCCGATCGCATGAAGTTCCGCTTGAAATATGCTGGGTGATTTCCCCATTGGCTCCAAGTATCTGGTCCGTGGCCTGAATACTCCGGCTCCAGTTCCCTCAGCAGTTTTGGAACCGTCTGTGTACCATTTGATGGTATCTGTTTTAAGGGATTGGATAGATTCCATGTTCCATCTGTTTTTTGTACTTAGTTAGATGGAAAAGTTTTTCTCGAAACTGAATTTATCATCAATCACGTCTTTTGGTAGATCGATGAGGTGTGCACAGTTTGGGAGAAGAAAAGTTCTACCAAGGTGCGTTTTCCTTTGCAAACCTATCTTCTCCATGATCCACTGGCAACTCACTTCAATATTAGGAAAAGGTGTGAGGTCTAGAATCACTTCTAACGTCGCGGTTGGGCGGGATCTCATTGCTCTTGTTATACAGACACGCGAGTCTGCACTTTTCCTAGCTGTTACTAGCTGGGTTCGGCTATACCAGGCTACCACTACGTAGGTGATGATAGGTCTCACTATCATGGTACACATCCATCTTAAGATTGATGGGTTACAACCCCATGTTTTACCTGCCATGTTTTTGCAGACCATGAGTGCTGAAATTACTTTGTTTTTTGTGTGTCTATATGATTCAACGATCAATTCACAATAAAAGTTTACCTTTCACGCGTCATCAAATCTCATTTGCTTTGTAGTAGATGGATGATAGTGATATTGCGAGGTCGTATATTTATATGGCAGCGAAATTTAATGTCGTTTAGCCGGAAATAGTTGAAAGTTTATAATTAAAGTTATACCAAAATGCGTAAAACATATTGCTTTATGAGTAGTGAAAAATAGTATCAGTGAAAAGTGATGTTTTAAGTGGAAATATTTGATAAATCAATAGAAATCGCCACTTTAGTGAACCTCAAATATAAATAAACAAAGTCTTATCAGTATAAAAACGAGACATTCCTTGGCTCGTTAAAAGCCTACGATACCAACATCTGATTAAGCGGCCGGCAATGGCGATAAGCAATGATGAAATATATGCACTTTTAAAATCTGTTCAAGAATCAAATAATGGTATAAGTCAAGATATAAAGCAAATTAAAAAAGATTTTCAAACATACAAAGAGGAGATCTCAAAAATTAAGGATACTGTGAAAACCTTAGAAAGCGCTAATCAAATTATATCAGAAAAAATCAATCTGCACGATATCATGCGTAAAAAAAACATTGTACTTTTTGGCCTCCCAGAGAGCTCAACCTTAGAAGAAGATCTCAAATCATTTTTTCTCGAAAAACTTTCAGTCAAAATAGAAAATTTCGACCTAGATAATTTCTATAGAATTGGTGAAAGATCAGAAAATAAAGTTAGAGCTGTACTAGTTAAGTTCACCAGAGAAAAAACAAAGCAGGATGTATTTAAAAACGTAAAAAAACTAAGGGGAACTGCCTACAGTATTGCTAACGATCTGTCGCAAAAACAAAGCCAGGAACAAAACATTTTGTATAACCATTATAAATCAGCTAAATCAAAGCAATATAGTGCAAAGATAGTTAAAAATACCTTCATAGTTAATGGAACAACTTATACAGTAGAAGATCTACGGGAAGACGAAGAATGAAACTTCGCATTCCCAGAAATTACAAAGGAAGAGCTTTTTCCTAATCACAGTGCACCGCCAACACCAAATCCACAACCAGACCTGAACGACTCTAGTAAGGAGCAAACACAATATAGAGAGGAACCGAAAATACCAAAGCCAAACAAGCACTCCACAAACACATTAGGAACTCCAAGAATCTCCAGAGCAAGAATAAACTCTCTGAGGGATCGTGGAGATAAAAATGAGGATAAAAAAAAAAACAAAACATAAGAATCCTAGACAATAAATTTTGGTAATAAAAAAAAAATAAAATAAAAAATAAAAAAAATTCTTTGGTAATAGGTAAGATAAGTAGGTATAAAGTGGATAGTTTTTGTGCGAATCATGGATCAAAGAGATTTTCTTGAAATATTGAATGACAAGCAGAAAAAAGAAGTGAACATTATAGACTTCAAAGAACTCGACAACTATGTAAGTGACTTTTATTTAAGCAATTTATTGATATTACATCTCAACATATCTAGCCTAAGAAAGCATTTGGATGAACTAATAGTAATTTTAAATCGCTCAAGAATAAGAGCACATCTAGTAGTATTATCTGAAACAAGAAACAAGGAACTTTGAAGATTTGTCCTCAGTTGCCATACCTGGTTATGAATGCCTGTACAATGAATCTAAAATGAATCAAAATGACGGATTAATAATATATATAAACAAATGTATAAAATTTACCTCAAAAATAACCACTGTGAACCTTTTCAATTACTTATCAATCAAATTTAAATTAAACGATACAACAATTAAAATCGATTCAATATACAGGCTCCCCTCCACCAATGAGGATGATTTTATATCAAGCTTGGATGGATATTCCAAAAACACCCAAAAAGCAAAGAGCGAGGAGCTAAAACTATTTATAGGCGACATCAATATTGATATTCTTTCGCAAACAAATAAATACACAAACGACTACTTGAACTGTCTCTATAAATATGGCTATATATTTCTTATATAAATGATTACACACGGGTAGCAGATGACTCAAAATCATGCATTGACCACATTTTTGTTGGGGGTACCACTAATAGTAATAATCTTGATCTTACGCCATTTATTGTAAAAAACAACTTATCAGATCATTACACAGTTGCACTTTTAATTCAAACAAACACCCCTAAAATAATAAAGGAAACAAAATTTATAGAAAAAATGGACTATACATTATTACAAAATAAACTTTCTCGTGAAAATTGGGACGAGGTAACCATGATGCATGATAGTGAAGCTTCCACAAGTCTGTTTATAGATACTCTACGTAGAATAATTCAAGGCTCTACAATTAAAAAAAAAAACACCAACAAACAAACTAAACTAAAACCCTGGATTACACAAGGCATAATAACAGCTATGCTAATTATATTTTCGATTCAGAAAAGACAACAGATCTGAAGTGTAGGCGCGCAGGTGCCTTTCATGCTGACATTTTTGTTATTCACTATAGGTCTTTTAAGACTAATTTCTAATTTTTTTTTGTATTACTATAACTATATCTATTCTTTATATTATAAATTACGAATCGCTATTAGTAACCGTTTAGTTTCTGTGTGCAAACAGGCCTATGGCCTAGGCACATGTACATATGTTTTTTCCATTAATTTAGAATAATTTGCTCTGTATACATTAATTGTATTATGATTTTGGAAAATAAATGAATCTTGAATCTTGAATCTTGATATACTAAACGAATTTTAATATTAGTCGTTAGTTGGAAGCCTAGACAACATATTTCAGCTTTTGTAAACTTAACAAAAACACGGTAATTTAGCATCTCTAACCTGTTTTCCCTGGTAAATACAGTTTAACTTTTTGTTTAGGCTATCTGTTAAAGGGCCACTTTTTAGGTATGCAATTCAAAGGTAGTGAGAAATTGCTAAAGTTTTCTCCGCTTCCGGACAACTAAAACTATAAAACTGTAATTCTTCTACCAAAATACTTTTGAAGCAATATAATGTTGAATTTAATATATTCATCATTAAACTTTATGTTTCAAATTCAATAATAATGCTAAGCATTCAATTAAATGACCGCACTAGTGCTCATCAAAAAGTCATTAAATGTAGCTAGAAATATGTAGATAGGTACTTATAAAATAGAGAGAAATGTTAAGTTTAAAGTGGGATTGAAACAATTTGCATAAAGTATTCCATCAGGTTAACTGGTACAATTAAATTTGGATTATTTATTATTCCGTGTTAGGTTGTATTTGGTTATTGAAGAAGTATTAGCCATGTGAAAAATGCAAAACTCGGATTACTTATATTGTAATGACAATTGTTGATATAGAATTCAGGGAGGTAAAAAATTTAAATTAAACCCTAGCAGACAGGCCAGGAAATTAATGGTTTTTTAAAAGTGTTTTTCCAACGCTTTCACATAGATACATGGATAATACATCTGTGTGGCTTGGGTCTCTTTTGACTTTCGCCCCCATAATCTTTTAATCCTCGAAAAGTTGTGCACTTGCTTTCTCACACAAAAGCTGCATGTGGCTTTTAGATGAGATTACCTAAAGTAGACAACGAGAAAAATAACATGGAGAATGTTAGCTTTGAAAGCTTTGGAATGATGAATGCATTAGGATTTATTAGTAAGCAGATGCACAACTTTATCTTAATAAGTTGCTGTAAGCCATTTTTCATTTGAACCTTTTTCCATGAGGCATGAGCATACATTTTCAATAAATCAAACCCAAAAACTTTTAAAGATGTTATCCAATAATCAATTAGGTTTCTAAATAGCTAGCGGCCCGATAAACATAAACGAACACGATTTTAATATCAACAGAAAAATAAACAATTTTTTGATAATTGACTGTTTTATAATGCGCCTGTTAAGAAGTTTTAATCTGGGGATAGTGCACTTGGCCAACGTCCAAAATGTATTCTTGAACAGATTTTTCGGTTGTTTATAGAGCAGCTTTTTTCCCTGAAATGAAATGAGGTAAATACAAAATATTGATTTTCATTATATTTTTTTGCTTCATTAATAAAAAAAATGTCACGTTCACTTTGCCAACTTGCTCGCATGTTTGCGCTGTACACCCCCTAGTTTAACGGCTTTCAGTTTTTTTTGTTTCGCTTTTCTGATTCTTTAAAGTGGATTTTTTAAAATGCTTTCTATGTATCCGGGCGCGTGATAAAAACAGCATTAAAGCACGCAATATCGCGTTATGTTTATATTTCAGAGGCCTTAAAAATTACTTTTTGTGCATCACACTGATTTATATTTAGCTTTATGTATAGGTATGATCAGAGATCAATATCAGGTTTATTCAAAAATGGATGTGAAGCATAAAAAAAACAAGTACCTACGAAACTACATTTCAGAATGGTCAACTTTGATGGTACATTCAAAGTTGAATGTATAATACAATCTTCGCTAATTTCTTTGAGCTTCTCATTCTCGGAAAATTTGCCGACATTGCTCTTTGTGAATGCCCAAAGTTGTGAGGCTCCTGAGACCGAGCCAAAATCAACTCTAGTTTTCTAATTGTTTTACTCTAAAGGTAGCTGAATTATCTTTCCATTCTATTATTGAAATAACGTTATCTATATCTGTAAGTTTGGGAGGGTGGTATGCCACAGCACCTAGGCCACATTAGGACCATTGTGAGCCTCCAGAGGTCATCCTTAGCTCGTCATCCAGCCTAGAGATTCAACGTAGGCACAGGGCCGCCGAGCCTGACAAAACTGGTCACAATAGTTTTGACAATGGGCCACTTTCACATTTTTAACAAAAACATATTTAAATTATTCTTTTAGTCATTCTAATACTATCTGTATACTTTTTTTCCGAAAAAAAAGCTTATTTTCGAAAAAAAAAATTAATTATTTAAAAATCGAATTTTTTAATTTAATTTGCCATATTCCCGGCACGTGAAAGTGTCCCATTAGTCAGAATAGATACATACCTAGATGTGTTAAAAAAAGTTGTCCCGAATATTCATTTTTTAAGAAGTGCAATTTTTATTTGTTAGCAGCTAAAGCTCTTATAAATTGAAGTTGTAACAAAATTGGTCCTTCGAGTTTTGAAAAGATTTGGCTTTGATCTCGACAATGTTGATTTGAATAAAAAGGTTAGTGCTAAAGCTTCTACTATCTAAAATGGAGATGATTTGCAAAAAAAGACAAAAAATGTCAAAATCTGCCATTATTGGGTACTGCCCCAGTAGCACAACAATATTGTTAAAATATTATATTTACATATTGGCCCAAGAATCGAAACGGCAGATTTTTTTGTTGCCCAATATATATTGTAAATATAAATCCGATATTGGAGAAAGATATTGTCCCAATATTGATTATTAATAAACATGTAATATTGCTTTTAGAAATATACCCAATATTTGTTTTTCAGATTGGCACAATGTATACTTTTTATATGAATCCGATAGTGAATATAGATATTTCTCCAATATTACCAATTAATAAATATGAAATATTTCTTCTAGAAATATTTACAATATTTCCTGGAAATATTTACAATATTTTTTTGAAAAAACACATGTATTTAACCAAAGCTCCAACACCTGCAGACTAGACCGATTTCCAGCTTCGAGAAGCACACCAACTTAAAGAAACAAGTTTGAAGGAAACTCAAACATTAGGAAAGAGCAAGGCCATCAGTAGCGCGTGGTGCCCTCTCTCGGTAGTCCTGATTGATATGGAAAAGGTACATCTCCTATATATCACCAATATTGGATAAATATTAAATATACATGAATAAAAGATATTGCCAAACATGGATTGGATCCAATATTGGATCAATCTTGGATTCACATATTATATAATAATAATGTAGGAAAAAGATTAATCTCCAATATATTACCAATATTGGCTACAAATTGCTAATATTGGACCCATATACAATATTTAGCCAATATGGATAAATATATCACTGTTATATTAGAAAAATTTGTTTTGCCATATTATATCCAATATTGGCTTAATAATGCAAATAAAAACATTATCTGTGCATATTGGTCCATTAATGGATACAATACTATGGTAATATTAGAAAAAGTTGTATTGCCAATATTGGCTCAATAATGCAAAAAAAAAACAATTTTTTTGTGCTTATCGGTTCAATGATGGATAAATATGTCACTGTTATATAAGAAAAATATGTATTGCCAATATGTAACCAATCTTGGCTATATGCTGCCGATAAAAATATTGTTTGTGAATATTGGCCCATTCTTGGATAAATATATTATTATAACGATGAAAGAAGTTGTATTGCTAATAAATGTCCAATGTTGGCTAAAAAATTCCAATATTGGGCCAACATACAATATTGGTCCAATGTATCCGCAACATGGGACCAACATTGTGTGCTACTGGGGTGGTGCTAGTACTTCTAAAATAGACGAAATTCGACATTAAAAAAGGGAAATTGAATTGAGAATGCTTAAACTTCAAATGGAATTGCTTGATGAAGAAGAAAATGCCTGAATCAAATAGCGAAATTTCTGGCTGCGTTTCGGAAATATGTTCAACAAATAAATACGATGACGGTTATGAGTACATAAGAATAAATAAATGGGTGGAAAAATCCAAAGTGGGCGATGAACCTGAGAACCAAAGTGTTTTATTTTTGAGAAATCCGAAAGTAGTTGACGAGCTTAAAAAGTCAGAAAATTTATTTATAAAAAATACCAAATAACACAACGCTAAGAAAAATCAACCAAAATTTATGGAAAGTAACAGAAAGGAGCGAAATGAACATGGAGATCAAAAAAATATGATGAGAAGTGAAGATCCTGGAAGTCAAGGTACATTATTTGCAGAATCTAAGAGAGCAAGAGAGGTAGTGAGAGACTTATTTTGCAGTCCATGTATTGTAACAGCCCTATTTGAAACGTTGAAAATGTATTTTGGAAGAGAAGACTGGATCATTATGAATCAGATGGATAAAGTAAAAAAATGTCCTAGACCTAGAGAAGACTAAATTGAAAGTTTTTTGCATTTTTCGTCATGTGTATCGAATATGATTGTTTTGATGAAAAATATTGGATGTTCCAGATATTTAGAAAAACCAGAACTTTTGGAACAATTGGAAAAGGTTACAATTATTTGACAGTTTTCTGACAGAGCTGAGAAAAGCTGTAAAAATTACAAGCTACAAGGACCAAGATGGCATGGTTAGAGATAAAATTGTGATAGGCGTTGCTGACAAAAATACTCAGAAAAGGCTTTTGAGAGAAAGTAAGCTTAACTTGATTAACGCTATAGATGTGTGTCGTGCCTCTGAGATTAACAAAACCCAAGTTAA